TTATTACATTTTGTAGTTATTATGCTATTATCGCTTTTGTGCTATTGGAACGAATTTAAAGTTATTTTACATTGCCGTGTCTATTTTTTTCCACATTACATACAAATGACTTTTATGTCGTTATAGTTTATACAGATGTTGTTCTAGTACGAAAAATGCATTGATTCAAGAAACAAAGTTGAAATTGTTCCTGAGACACGATATCGTTTCAGTACGAAAATCACAATGATTTACATAACGACATTAAAGTCGTTCCTGGTGCACAAAACAATATTGATGTTGTACTAGTATGAAAAACACACTGCTTTTGTGATTTTCATAACGACATTGACATTGTTATAGACCAATAGAACGACGTAGAAGTTGTTATGTCAAAAAACTTGCACAATGCGCGAGGTACCATTTTCTCTCGTGTGGTAAACAACTTAAAGGCGCATACGCCAACCAATTTTTTTTTGGAATAATGTATTAATCCCAAAACTTTCTTCCTTTTGTTCAACAGAGATCTTTTCATGTAATTTTCAAAAAATGACAACAAATCGTAAGTATCAAATTCACGAAATAACATAACGACCACCGTATTATTTCAATACAAATTTGGTGAGATTAAAATTGATCTAGTTCATATCATAATTAAAACGACATATATATTGTTTTCTTTAATATGTAACGACATTGATATTATTATGTACCAAACCCATGAAATAATATAACGACATCCATATCGTTTTAGTACAATTTTGAAGACATTGATAACGGTTCAATTCAAATTATAACTAAAACGACATATATATTGTTTCCTTTCATACGTAACGGCAATGATATCGTTATGTATCGAACCCACGAAATAACATAACGACGTCAATATCGTTTCAGTACAAATTTGACAAAAATGAAATTGTTCCAGTTCAAATCATAACTAAAATGATAGACGTATCGTTTCAGTTCATATAAAATGATTTCTATATTGTTTAAGCTAAAAACAATGTTTTGATCGTCCACAGCCACCTGACATGCATATGACATATGTAGGACGACTGAAATATGTTATTAGTGGATTCAATCTCACTCAAAGAAACTATGAGAATATTTGTGTTTTCGTAATTATCTACCACTTTTGTTATTGTATCTCTGTTCGCTCTATCTAAGCCGTTCGAGTGCTATTAATCCACTTGATGGCCTCTTTTGATCGTCCTAGATATGTCGAAGGCATGTCATCATGAACAGTTGAATCGTTGTTCTTAGCCAGAACGATATAATTTTCGTTTTATATAAAAAGAAACAATATATATGTCATTATAGTTATGATTTGAATTGGAACGATACAAACTCATTAAATTTGTATTAAAACGATGCGAATATAATGCTATTTTGTGCGTTTTGTACACAACGATATCATTATCGTTTCAATACAATTTTGACGACAATGATATCATTTCAGTTCAATTTACAACTAAAACAACATATATATTGTTTCAATTCATATAAAACGATAATTATATCGTTACAGCTAAAAACAACGATTCGATCGTTTACTATCATCGACATACATTCGACATTTGTAGGACGATCGAAATAGGTTATCAAATGAGTTCGATCTCACTTAAAAGAAGCTATGAGAACATTTGTGTTCCCATAATTGTCTCCCACCTTCGAACTATTCTGAGAGAAGGAAATTATCTTTGTTTGCTCTTTCTAAGTTATTCGAGCGGTATCTATCCATTTGATGACCTTTCTTGGTCGTCCTACATATGTCGGAAACATGTTGGGTGATCATGAATAGTCGAATTATTGTTTTTAGCCAGAACAATATAATTGTCGTTTTATATAAAAAGAAACGATATATATGTCGTTGTAGTTATGATTTGAATTGGAACGATTTCAAAATCATTAAATTTGTATTAAAACGATATGAATATAATGTTATTTTGTAGGTTTTGTACATAACGATATCATTATCGTTTCAATACAATTTTGACAACATTGATATCGTTTCAGTTCATATAAAACGATAATTATATGAATTATGTTGTTTTATGTGTTTAATACTAATGATTTGTCATCGTTTTTTAGAAATTGCATGAGAAAAAAGTCTCCATTGAATGAAGACAAAAGTTTGGTCTCTTGGACGCGCGTACACAACTCTCTACATTGCACGCGCTGTGCAAGTTTTTTGGTATAACGACTTATATGTCGTTTTATTGGTCTGTAACGACTTCAATGTCGTTATGAAAATTGGTAAAGTAGTATGTTTTTCATACTGAAACGACATAGATATCATTTTGTGTTCAGGAACGATTTCAGTGTCTTTATGTGAATCAACGTAATTTTTGTATTGGAACGATATTAATATCATTTTGTGTCTCATGAACAATTTCAAAGTCGTTATATGAATTATTGCATTTTTTTGTATTGAAACAACATCAACATTATTTTGTGTATCAGGAATGAAGTATATGTTGTTACCTGATGCAATAGTTATATTTTGTCATAAGGACATAAATGACATTTTATTGGTTTGGAATGATATTAGTATCATGGACATGTATGATATTTAAATTTGAAAGTAACTTGAAAATATGTAAACGTCAATTCAATTCAACTATCCTAGACAAGTAAAACAAAGTAACTACAAAATATCATCAAACATCAAATGAATTAACAAAAAACAATTTAAGGCTCGAAATCTCATGCCAACAACTTTGCAGCCAAATTTTTTTGCCACATCAGTACACAATCCAAGCGAATTGCATTTACATCCATCTTCGTGTGTATAAATCCTATGTACTTCAAAGTGATTATTCCGTAGTCAAATCTACAGAATTGTTGTACAATTTCGTTAATTCTCAACAATAAAATAGTAAAGTACCTAACAAATATAATATTAGTCGACTTTACCCATTTCTTTGTCGAGAAACATCTTTCACCTTCACAAATTTGAACTTATCCGTGATATATTGGTCATCACTAGTGTCATGCAATTTTATTAGTAAAGAAATAAAATCTTGTAGGGACAAAATCTTTGGCAGTATAGAGTGTAAAATTAAGAATGAACGTTCCATGCATTACTTTAACAAGTAGTCTTGTTATTGTGCCACGCGAGCACTGAATTTCATTCCATGGAAATTAATACAAAGATAGAGTAGGATTATACCATACAATGCACTTGTGAAAACCGTTCTCATATAGTATATGTAAAATAAGTTCAGAAATTCTCTGAATTTATGAAGTGCCAAATAGGTCACATGAATTCGTTTTTATCATCACACTCTATTCATTGCTAGGTTTTAAAAAGATCTAAAACATTTAGATACTTTACAACCACTTCATTTTGAATTGTTTGCATGAAAACTATCTAAACAAAATATAAAGCAACTATATCTTTGACAATTACTATATTTGGATTCAGCTACGTAATTTTATTTCGTCATCCCGCTTGATTATCAAAGGTAAAATTCACAATGATTTACCTTGATGCACTTTTGTTGAGTGCTTTTCGAAGTCTTACATTTGAACTACTAGCTACCATTACTTGTATGAACAAGGAGTTAAAATCTTGTTTATTTTCTAGAAAAAACAATCATTTGAGCATAGAAATCACCTAAGGAGACTAACCCGAAGAACAAAATTCTTATAGATTATTTCAGAATCCATTTCTTCCTCGTGTTGTTGGTCACATCTTAAAAGACAACCAATATAGGAAAACATGGGTCTAAGAAAATTGCTCTAGATATCATCACGTATGATACATATAGTGTAGTTAAAACCTGACTTATTGTATTGTCCAATCATCTTCAATACTGCTTATTGAACCTGCTTTGATATCCTTAAAAATAATACTTACCATACAAAAAGGTAAGGTTTAAAGTCATCTGCTAAATGAATCTTTCTCCAATTCTCAATTCTGTTCATAGCTAACTATTGAAAGATCTAAACAAAATACGAGGCATCTAAATGACATCGAAATGAAAAGCTAAATTGTCGCAGCTTCTTGTGCCCATTTATAGTTACTAGGTACGTTTTATTAAATTTTAATAAATCGTTTTTATTTGACTATTCAAACGTACAAATTTAAGATAATTAATTCTCATAATTACTATGAATTTTTAAATATAAATGAATTATTTAAATTTATTATCATTATATCTCACACTTGAGATCATAAATTAAAACTAATTAATAAATATTAAAAACAAAAACAAAAATGCAGTTAAAAAAAAACCAGAATTTCAAATCGAAGTAAAAAATTATGAATCGGTTCAAATAATCAGAAAAAACTAAAAAATAAATCAAGGCATCAAAGAATTTACTTCGTCACTTTCATTATTGGTCTGTTAGTCATGTTCCTAGACAGGTTAATGTGGTCGCTCATACTTTAGCAAAGGAAGCACTTAAACTCTCTGAGGAGAGAATTGTGTTGGAGGAAATTCCCTCTTGTATCCGAAATTTGCTGCTTTGAAGCTTAATGAAATGCTTTTTCTCAAAAAAATAAATCAAGGCATCAAAACTTACCTATGTGTTGGCAGAACCAGTAGTGATCATTGGGGCAATAATGGTTAGGGACAGTAACATCTACGAATCTCGTGGTCTCAATTTTCTCGTAAAATTCATCAGCTTTGCCCTTATCATCTTCCATGACTACGGAAGTGCCTTAGAATCTATGTTTTTCAATAATGACAATAATTTTTGACGTGAATAAATACTCAATTCCTTATACGGTTTTGTTTTACAATAGAAGGGTAAAGTGGTCTTTCTACACTTTGAAATGATTAAATTTTATTTTATTTTATTTTTTGATTACCTTGTCAAAGGCACAAAAAGAGTTGAAGGGCGGCTATTTAAACTCATTCCCCCTTAAAATTATGGTGCCAATACTATTTATAATTTTTATCTTTTATTACTCTTATCGGGGCTGACTTTGCAGCCATCAACCGACTTCGTCGAAATTTAAAATTGAGCTCTACAACGTGTGGATTAGGTTTACATTCAGCTCATGTACCATGTCGTCAAGAAAAGGAGGCTACAGAAGAGGAAAACAAGAGAAATTTCATCATCAAGATCGCCAAATTGATGAAAATTGGACTGTCAGACCCGTTGATGATCATGAGCATGTTCGAGAGTCCCAAGAAATAGTCTCCACACCAGAACCTGATAATCTTGAATCGACCTCATCATCTGCAGTACCATTACTAGTACCGGAATCTATTTCAAGATATCAAAAAGGGGCTCAAAGTAGGAGGAATTCTAGGTGGGCTAACCGAAATCGGGTTGCCCAAATGGGAAAATCTCAGGTTGTGAGGAAAGCTGAGTTGGGTTTCGCGAAAGAAGAGGACTCTGCGGGTAGTTTTGACCCAACACTGAACCTTGATCTGAAAAATGATAAAAATGAGGTGAATAAGGAAAATAAAGAAAAAGAAGAGGAAAGCATTGGAGGGTCTCGTTTGAAAGAAGAAAATGAAGTGGTTGATGTAGGAAAAAGGTTAGAGGAGCTGAGAATAGGTGTTCAAGAGCCAGAGTTGTCGGAAGAGCAGCTGAAGCTTAATGATCAGTTGCAGGAGGATGAGGTATTGTTAGTTACGAGCTTGAAGTTGATTTAATTTTATGTCAACTTATTTGGTTTGTTAAATGTATTTATGAATTTAGGAAGTCTAATTCTGCTGTGCATCCAGCACATCAAGCCTGTGAGCTATGCATTGCCGTGGAATTAACAAAAATCAGTGTCGTAGTTTTATTTACATGTTATTTGAATGCATATTCTTGTTACTCAAGAAGAGCCTTTAAAATGATTTGATCTAGTGTGGTTAATGTTGTAAATGATCTTTGAGAGTAGGTGGAAGAAAAAGGTACATAAGACGAATCACAAATAAGTGTGAAAAGAGGATTTTGTTTAATGAATTAATTGAGAAGAAGATGTGCCTTTCGTAAAAATCATGATTTATCACTATTTTTATTTCAGGGTTTGAAAAAATAAAGTAGAACGGAAGAAATTCTGTTACAATTCCAATATGTTCAATCGGTCATGGATCTGACTCCGTGCATTGCTTTATTTTGGTGTGGTTTTTGTGTTCCCTTATTAGGTAGCTTGATTGTTTGGTTTTTCTTTTTTTCTTCTTTTCATTGTCACTCTCTCTCTCTCTCTCTCTCTCTCTCTGTGTGTGTGTTCAGGGATGAGAAAGGAGTCGGGAGCTATCTCCCTTTGGCCTTTGCCTTTGCCTTTGCTTACAATAGAGGAGTTGAAAACCATTCGGTCATTCAAGAGTGAAGGAGATAAACCACTTGTTCTAGAATCACGTGACCAACATAGTGGCAAGGAGAGATGTACATCTCCAAATTCATCATGGTGGCAGTTTTCGTTGATATACTTTAGTCCTTGTATTTTGCATTGTGTCCATTTATGTCAAAAGGAAACTCTAAATATGTTGTAGGTGATATTAGAGGTCTAACACAATCAAGTATTTACATCTGGAGATTGAAAAGAAAACTCTACATCCCTTATTCATGATGTAAGGTGGTTAAGGGTAAAAGCTTTAAAAGAACTTTTAATGGAAAAAGTTTTACAATACCACAAGTTTAATGTTACTGTTTTATTTTCTCTATCTACATTTGGACGAGGGATATCCTTGGTGTTAACACTAGAGTATGTCTTTGGAAATGCTCTTTACACTGTAATGAAACTGCTCTTTTTATCTCTCTCTTCTCATACACATCTCTGTTTTCTATTTTGTAGTTACTAGCTCTGGAGTCTATTTACGGTGATAACATTTTCATTTTAGACAAACAAAATGAGCTACGGTCTTTCCAGGTAATTTAGTCCACGTTTGATCTACATTATTATCTCATTAAAATGAAAAATATGACCGTTATCCATCACATCAAAATGTAAATTCAAAATTTTTATCTCTTATGTAGGCTCCAATAACGGCTATATTTTTTATTCTCATTCTACAATAATTTGGCTCAAACAGGGCTTTAGTGCTCGAATTTTTTTTTTTTTCTTTTTCTGTTGAGGAAAATTTTGTAACATTAATATTATCATACAGATTTATATACATATTGAAGTGCCCAGTGCAATTATGATTACTACAAACTTGAAATCCCATGATACCCATGAAAGACGAGATGGCGATTCTTCAAAGTTCTCATACTCTTTCAAAGTTGAGCATCTCCAGCCAATTCTATTGACTTGTTTGTTGCCGAAATCATATCCGAGCCACCATGCTCCTTACTTTACTATCTCTGTTCAGTGGTTGGAGTCTAAAAAAATTTCGGATCTCTGCTTCAAGCTTGAATCAATTTGGAAGGAACAGCCTGAGCAGGAGGTTATATACCAATGGGTAGAATGGTTACATAGTTCTACCCTCTCTTATCTGGGTTTTGATCATGAAATAGTTCTTGGTCCTTATGGTGTAATAAGACATACTGAAGATAAACGCGCGATTTCTCACAGCATCTCCCCAGATGTTGATATTCCTTCAATGAAGAGTTACAATGATGAACAGCATAATGAGAACTTCTTCAGAAACATCCATGAGTGCTGCATCTGTTTCAGCGAGTTTCATGGTATTCATCGCCACTCTTTCATAAATCCACAAAATACCTGACTGCATTAAGTGCCTGATGACCAAAGTATTAGCTTAGGATGCATAACTCTCTTCTGTAAGTTTATCCTGTCTTAAAGATATAAAACATAGAAGTCAAGTACTCTTCCGCCACAGATCATTTCATGATGCATTAGGGAGTCAATTTGAAACTTTCATTAAGTTCAGTGAACCTAATTTATTAGATTCTATTCAATAGTTTCAGCATGAGGCATGTTAATTTTGGCAACATTTTCCAAGCAGCTGTCAATATTTGACAACTAAAAATAATTTTTCTAAGACTTTGGTTTCGTGGGGGCATATTTATTTCGCTTGCTGCATTGACTTTACTCTCTGCTTATCATTAGTGATAATGCTCAGAACCCTTTGAAGAAGAAACTCATGGCCCTGAAATCTTTAACAACCCTAAATAATATTTGCATTGATAATTTGATCTCCTCAGCAGGGAGTTCAAGTTCAGAGTTTGGTTTTTGAAATGGAAGATGCAAAATGATCTTTAGCTTATCTTGACTTTGAAGTTGCATTCTGGTACGCAGTTAAGATAATAATTAATTTTCCTTGATTTTCCTTACCAGGTTCTGAGTTCAGTAGATTACCATGCCAGCACTTCTTTTGCAACATATGCATGAAAACTTATGCTGACATGCATATAAAGGAAGGAACAATACTGAAACTTAAATGCCCAGATACAAAATGTGGGGGAATGATTCCACCTGGTTTGCTGAAACGATTACTCGGGGAAAACGAGTTTGGACGGTGGGAGTCACTTATGTTACAAAAAACATTGGAATCGATGTCTGATGTGGTTTACTGCCCAAGATGTGAAACAGCCTGCTTAGACGATGAAGATCAACATGCACAATGCTCCAAGTGCTTCTATAGCTTTTGTACACTTTGCAGAGAGAAACGTCATGTAGGCGTTGCATGTATGACACCGGAAATGAAACTGCTTATTTTGCAGGTAACAAGTTTCTGTTTGATGTATACTGGTATTTTCTAGTTCTTCTTTGATTGCACTTTGGAGGGTATTCTTATCACTTTAAAATCAAAATAGCTGTGGTTCACCTGCTTTTCTGTTATAATTAACTCTGTCTCCATTATTCTTAGAATTTGTTATATCGCAATTTGGAGTAGTATTGAGGCTAAAAAGGGTAGACATGAAAATAGGCCTTTTTTTTTCCTAGAAAAATACATTGATGTGTCAATGACTTCTATGTGCATTTGGAGGTATGACTGTTCACCAGTATGATGAGAGTGCATTTGTCAAATTATTGAATAATACAATGACACCAGGCTTCTGTTTGGATCATTGCACAAAACTATCAAAACTAGTTCTTCTGGCTATCCTGAAGCTCTTCCATTTGCTATCAACCTCGCACTATAGCCTACTCATACTATATTTACCTTTCCCATTTAAATAGGGTGTAACCCTGTCAAAACTCAAAAGAAGCACTTTGTCTTGCTGACTTTGTATTACACTATTACTCCCTCTATTCATGATTGACTTCCTATTTTCTAACAGTTCTTTTACAGTTTACTATTAGCAGAGTTGCAATAGCCAGGCAGAATTTAATTTAATTTCTCAAAAATTATTCCCCCACAACATGCGTGCAATCAATATTGGTGGATTGCTATACATATTTTTTCCTGGTGAATAATAATCATGGTGAATTTTTTAAAGAAGCACTTTTAATAGTCAGAACAATATTTTTCATAATTTGTATATAGATGGACTCTTTTAGTGCGAAAATGCCAGTTTTATTCTACATATGTGTGCGTGTGCGTGCATGTGTTTATTACTTTTTGATATTCATGTTTTCATTGACTTTTCTAACGAAGCTGCTTGAGTCTGTTGTTTCCATCTGTTCTCTGAAGTTTCTTTGCATTCTCCATTCAAGTTCTAGATATATGTTGTATTTTTTTCCCAAAAGCACTAGTCCTGTTCTAGATGCCTTGGGTTATCCATCCTCTATAAAGTTGCTTGATATATATTTTGAGTATTCTAAAAGTTGTCTACTTCTCCTGGGCTTTGTTAGTCTCTCTTTTAAAAATCGTATTATGATAATTTAATATGTAAAGATCTGATGTTTGTATCAGGAGCGACAGAATTCATCACTGCTGAAAGGTGATCAAAGGCGCCTCGAGAAAGAAATGATCAATGAGCTTCTTAGTGTCAAGGAAATAAATCGTTTTGCAAAGCAATGCCCTTCTTGTAAGATGGCTATCTCACGAACTGAAGGATGCAACAAGATGGTGTGTAATAATTGTGGGCAGTATTTCTGCTATCGCTGTAATAAGGCAATTGAGGGATATGAGCATTTCAGGTCCGTTGTTTCCTTTTAATATTATTGATAAAGTGGATGTTTTGCTAAGCTTAAAAGTAACTTTATAAAAAGTACGTGTAGACGTACTTCACAAAAAAAAAACAGTTACTTCTTAGTTTAGCCAAGTCCAATTTCAACATCTTATTTCAGCTATTAGTTGTCATCTTTATTGGGCTGATGAGCTTTTCTTCATAGGGATGGAAATTGTGAACTTTTCCCGGCAGAAGAGATTCAGATGTGGGAGGAGAGGATGAATGCTCGCCAAGTTGTGGGTCAGATTCAAGCCCAATTGTTTGTTGACCGTGGTCATTCATGCCCTAATTGTGGTCAACTCAATGCAAAGGTTAGATGATGCATCCAGTTTTGCTTTAATTCTGATGTTACTAAGCATAGAACTCCAGAAAAGAAAGAAAGTAGCAACAGAAAATGGCACCTGGGTGGTTGGTTGAAACTCTTTCTGAAAATATTGCTGTTATTTCATACTGAAATTAAACAATACAAGCAAAAAGAAGAATAACCATATTGAAATTGAATTGTTTAAGATATTCGAGAAAGTATATTAAAGACCTTGATGTGTAGAAAATAGCAAAAATTTTAGGATCTTAGAGATGTAAATAAATAAATTTGTAGTTCTATTGAGATGTCCTCAAACACATCAAAAATTGTTGCATTTGAAGAAGTAACCGGCATCTTATGAACTTCTTCATTGTTCATTTTTCTTTTATGAAGTGAAGTCGATAAATCGGCTTAAATCTGTATCTTGCTGTGTGGAACCTATTGAAAGAGTAATCTAATCTTCAAGTAGATTACTATTTTTTTTTTTTTTTTTACAATGGCTTGAATCATGAAATTATTGCAACTACTTCAGAATTGAATTAAACAATATATGCAAAGTGATGAAGAACCATATGAACTTTATATAACACAGCAATATATATGTCAAATTCATTATATACCCACATGCAAACATACCCTAATGAAGGTTTTAATACATTTAGATTAGCTTAAATTAAGGGTTGAGATTATTTGTCATATTCATGAGAGAGAGAGAGAGAGAGCCTATTTGAGTCTCATTTTTTGCCCAAAATATATTTTGACATAGTATTTTTATGGATAATGTGTAGTAAAAAAATAAGGAAAAGTTTTGAATTTGCGTGTAATATTATTTTATTGAAAAATGTGTGGCTGAAAATAAAATAGAGAAATGTATGGAAATATGGAAATAATAGAGACCAAACAAGGGCATATATATACATATATATGCTCTTGTGGATCTAAATTGATCATGATCCCATAAGAAATCTAATCTTATGAAGTGAGATCACCGTTTTCTTTTCAAGACCTTGCTGTGCTGTTCATGTTTGACATTGAAAAGACCAGCAAAAGTATAATATTAGCCCCATTTTAATGTACCATAATCATTTTGTGTCACAATATGGGTGTTGGGATATGAACCATCCTAAAATGTGAAAATAAGGAGGATTAGATTTGTTTATGTTCATACTATACTTAAAAGTAAAGAAAAAAGTAGGAAGCAACCAAAACTCCACATTCCGAGAGTACAGAATTTTAATAAGAAGATGAAATGTAAGGAGAAAGAAGTTGGTGGTAAAAATTTTAGACTTGGGCTCGGATGAGAATTTTTTTATGATTTTAGAAAAAAAAAATTATCAAAACCCTTTATCTTTCACCAATATTTTACTGAAAGATGGAAACCTGAATAATATTTAGCAATATAATGTTGTAAAATTTCAAACCATGAAAATATATAGGGTGTTTGACACCCATTTTTTGGAGAATAGAATTTTTGGAATAGTGACTGATGGGAGAATGTGTAGTGGAAAATTTATGAAAAATTTTAGATTTGTATGTGATATTATTTTATTGGAAGAATGTGTGGTTGAAATAAAGAAAGAGAAAAAAATGAGAATGAGAATGGGTGCCAAATAGGGGTATAGGTAGGGCTGGGCAAAATGTCCGAACCGAATTGAACCGAACCGGAACCGAACCGAACCGAGCGGGTTTTCTTAACTTAAAAACCCGAAGAACCGAGAACCGAAAAATTTTGGTTCGGTTCTCGGTTCTAGACCTAGAACCGAAGAACCGAATAAGAACCGAATTTTTTTTGATAAATCAATTTATTTTATTTTTTCTAAACAAATTAACAATTTTTTGTTTTAACTATTTGATATATATATATATTCCTTAACCTAACACGGGTTTAATTTTGGGCTAGTTTGTAGTTTTGTTTTTATTTCCTATTGGACTTAGTTTAGATTGGGTTTGATTTCAGTCTTGGGCTAGGCTTTAGTTGATATTTTAGCCATTCATGGTTGGGTTTAGGGTTTAGTTGCTAAGATTGAACTTCGTATTTGTATCTACTTCTTGTTATTAAACCCCTGTTTGGCCAGCATTCTTGTGAAGAAAAAATGAAGAATTGGACCATTTTTTTCAAATTAGTGGGCCCCTCCCTCTCACAAGTTGGTCAAATATTTCGGCTGACCCCATGTCTAACGATAAGAAAATTTCTAGAAATGGGAAAAAAATGCCCTCCAAACAAGGGCTAATATTAGTATCTACTTTCAGGTGTATTTATGTAGTATTATTTTAAATATTAAAAAATTTAATTATAATACGGAACCGAACGGAACCGAACAGAACCGAACGGAACCGAACCCGAACGGTTCCAAAATTATATTTGGAACCGACGGTTTCATTTACTAAAGAACCGAAAATTTCTGGAACCGAAAAAAACCGAACCGAACCGACCCGGGCCCACCCCTAGGTATAGGTGGAAAGAGTGATACAAGCAAGTGTATCTCACACTCTTTCATTCTCGGTATAGAAAAAACATCAGATGGGTTCTTTTCTCCGAGTTTGGAATCTAAAACATCAGGTGGGTTCTTTCCTCCGTGTTTGGAATCTAAAACATCAGGTGGCTTCTTTTCACTGTGTTCGGAATCTAACAAGTGATTTTGAATTTTTTTCCCGTGGAGGAGATGGTTTTATAGGTTGCTGGTGTTTCATAGTTGCTGTTTGTGTGTCTTTATTGTTTCTGTTACTATATCGACTTACAGTTTGCATCTTCACTGAAAACAATAATGCTGAATGCACTTGACTCGTCTTTGTGGACAGGTTGGCAATAACAATCACATATTTTGCTGGGCATGTCAAAATCACTATTGCTACTTGTGTAGAAAGATGGTGAGACGCAGCTCGCAGCACTATGGACCCAAGGGTTGCAAGCAACACAGTGTCGGATAATTGTAACAGATTTCCCAATTGACTGTGTTACTATTTTGGCATTAAAGATGGCCCGGAGGTACTTGAACTGAAGAAAGATATAAACCGGAGCCTACTTAGAAAATTGAAGCATAACAACGGGTGTTGCTCAAAGCAACATGTATACATCAGCTTCCGTTCTGTACGTTATACATCCCTGCATTCGATTGACATTTGAGTGTTGCTTAGTTTGGTCTCGGATTTGGGTTTCTTTACACAATATTGAATGTTGTATTTTTCTTGTACATTTGGAAAGTTTAATAATATGATTCGAGGTTTTATTAGATGTAATGATTTTTGGTGCATATAAGAAGTTGAATTTTCCTTCAGTAGAAAGAATCCTTCTATTTGCTCTGCTTATTCTGCAATGAGTTCCTCTCGTAGCTACTTAATGTTGAGTTGAGATCCGTTGTCTCCATTTCGCTTTCTCCTTGACTTTCACCACGTAAATTTTGACACGCCACTATATCATCTTAGAATATTAAGCCTCTATTTGGACTCAATTGTTTCAAAAACATATTTTTTAATGTTCCATGTAAATTCAAAACATTTTCTTATTTCTTAATTACACATTCTTAAAAAATCACTATTTCAAAATATATTTTCTCCAAAACTTTCATTTTAATGGACTCCAAAAAAGGACCAAATGGAAAGACGTCATTTTAAAGGTGATGGTTACTTGAAATGTACAATGTTACCTTAATAACCTTGAATTAAGTAATTATGTGACCAAGTAATGGATTTTTTTTGGACAAGACCCGTTCAGTTAGGACAATGGCGGTCAATAAATGGAAGGTTGAAGATATCGGGAATAGAATTGCTAAGGATCCCAAAAGTTGAGGACGATAGTCGTAGTTTTTCCTTTTCCCCACAACGACCTAAAAGGGAATTGCAGCCAGTTCTCCCTTAGCAAAATATTAAAGTAGTCCTATTTATTATAATATATATTATTATAAAACGGTCGATGATTTTACCAGCCAAATTCCGGCCAGGTCATGTTTGCCTTGAATGGTCATACATGTGAATAAATCAAGCCACGACTTCAAGCGTCTGGCAAGCAAAAGGACATTGTCCGCCTTCTAGGTTGCGATCGGGGTTTTCCTTAGATTTAAGAGGGGATTCTGGGGCGTGATAATTGGATTTTATTTTGGATGGAAATTGTTGTTGGAGACATGTGGCACTAATTTCTCAAATGTCAAGAAATAAAGGTCTGAGGATATAAACGCAAAAGATTGGAGATAATAACTGCAAACGTTTTGAAAACCTTAAACTACATTATGATGAAATTGCAACTAAGTCTCTCGTCTATTGGCAAAATAATAGTACAGCCTTAATTATTAAAATAAATATAATTAATAAATACCATATCTTTAGTGGATTTTAGAGTAAATTATTTCAAAAATCACCGAACTTATACCATAGTCACGGACTGCCCATCAAACTTCTTTGCTTCACAATACTCACCTAACTTTTCCCATTAGCAATCCATCCATCACCCAAAAAAATTCATTTAGTTAGTCGTTGATTTGGCGAAAAGAATTCTGATGTGGTCTGACGTCCGTTAAATTTGAACAAAAAGTGACATCTTTAGCATAGTTAGCAAAAATCGTGTTTATCAAAAACATGATTTTACCTTTAGAGAAAAAAAATTCCTCCTTCAAAACCAAAATGACTCATTTTCCCCAAATCAACCATCGTCATTTTCTCCCCAAAATCAACATGCGAACTCCATCTTCCTCAAATCAGCAACCATGGATAATTCCATCATCCGGGGTGGGTTATATCGTCGGGTTTGATAATCTTGATGAAATAGTGGAAGATGGCCGAGTATCTGGCCATTTGACCACTTAATAAAAAAAAAAAAGGATAAAAGGTTGAAATAGGAGTTAGAAAATAAAAGGCCAAAAATACCCTCAAGGAGAAAAGAAAAAATTCTCTCATAGTCAATTCAGTCGAAACAATCTTATCTTTTGGCAAATCAGCAAGGTTAGTTTTGATGACCATGACATGCATTTTTCATAAGGTGTAGATGATTGATTAATTTTGACATTTATTAACCTTATTTATTGATTATTTAGGTATATGCTTGAGTAGACTAAATTTTGGAGATGTTTTGAGGGGGGGAATGGATTTTTCGGGCTGGAGATCGCCCGAAATGACGATCTCCGACGCCAACTGTCAAACAGTCAGATCACCCGATTGTTAACAGTCTTGGGCCGACTGTTATCCAACCTTTTTTTTTTTTTTACATTTTATTAATTTTTTAATTTTTACAATTTTAAATCATATTTTTATTATGTATTTAATTTATTTTATTTTATTCTAGGGTTGGGCATGGTCTGGTCCGGTTCGATTTGGTTCTAAAGAGATCTTAACCGAATCAAAATTTTCGAGTATTTAATAAATGGAACTGTCGGGTCCAAATATAATTATGGAACTATTCAAGTTCAGTTTTGTTCGGTTCCATACCATAATTAATTTTTTAAACATTTACAGCAATACTACATATGTATGATGACATATTCATTAGGGGTGTCCAAAAGTCCCGAACCGAACCGGACCGAACCGAGCGATTCTTCATAAATTAAATACTCGAACGGGTACCCGAATCGAGAACCGATGGGTTTGGGTCGGGTCTCGGGTCTAGACCAAGAACCGAAGAACCGAACAAGAACCGAAACTAAATAATTTTTTTATTTTTTATATTGAATTAATTAAATTATTTTATTTTTTTCCTATACAAATTAGCAAATTAATTGAATAAATTAGATTATTTCATAATTTTAATTTTTAAGCCCAAATCATTTTAAAATCCATTAGCNTCGAGCCAAAATTTTCAGGTATTTAATAAATGGAATCGTCGGATCTAAATATAATTACGGAACCGTTCAAGTCCGATTTGGTTCGGTTCGGTTGAGTTTGGTTATGTTCGGTTCCATATCATTATTAAATTTTTTAACATTTTACAACAATACTACATAAATACAATTAATGACATGTTCATTCGTAATGTTTATAAATTAAATGCAACATCTAATATTAAGAATGTTGAATTCCATTTAGTAGGAACATCTAAAATAGCAAGTTTTTTGCATGCAATCTTTTCTCTTTCAATACAGTATTTAAATTTCATCAATTAGGAAGAAGATGAACAAAAATATCGAATGAAAGTAAGAAATTGAAAAGAGTATGATAAAATCTTAAAAATGCCTAGATTTTGGGCTAACGAAGAAATTAATAATTGAGCCTAAAAATTGAATTTAGAAATTGGGTTGGGTTTGGCTAGTTAGGCATGGACTTGGCTTGAGAGTTGGAGCATTAATCACTAAATTAATTAATTTGCTAATTTGTTTTAAAAAATTTTAAAAATTTTAATTAATTCAATATAAAAAATTAAAAAAATTATTTAGATTCGAATCTTATTGGATTTTTCGGTTCTTGGTTTAGAATCGAGAATCGAACCAAACTTATCGATTCTCAATTCAGATACCCCGTTCGAGTATTTAACTTATGAAGAACCGTTCGGTTCGATTCGGCTCGGAAGTTTTGTCTAGCCCTATTGTGTTCTTTAATTTTTATTTTATTTATTATTATTTTCTCTTTTTCCTTTTGTTTTATTTTGTTTATTCTTTATATACATATTTTTGGTAAAATTTATAAATTAAGAAATTTTATTCTTTTTTGAGTTAAATAAATAATTTTAAGCTGAAAATTAATAAATTAGATATTATTTTTAACTAAATTACTAAATTCATTTTTTTCTTTTTTTTTTTAAAGTTTAAAATTCTTTTTAAAATAATCTTTAATTTTTTCAATTTTAATTAAATAATATTTATATTCTTTATTTAATTTTATAATTTTATTTTGTTTAATTTTTATTTTTTATTTTTTGGTAATAATTTAAAAGTACCTTAATTGTTTTCTTCTTATTATAATATGTTTTTTTCAATTTAAAATACTTTTTAACATTCTTGCTTTTTTTTTATATATATTTTCTCTAATTTATTTTTCATTTTTTTTTTATTTTTGGTTATTAATTTGTATTTAATTTAATTAATTATTTTTTAAATTTGTATTTAATGTATTTATCGTGCTTCTCCTTTAATTTATTAAGTCATTTATTTTTTTATTAGCATTGATGTCTTGCATATAGTAGTTACAATTTAGTTCGCTTGATTTTCTGAGATTATTCGTTATTTTATTATCTTTTGTTCAATGTTCTAACGTTTAATTTTTTTTTTTTTTTGCATAATGGAGTACCATTTAAATGCTAAGTTGAGACGAATGACGAGAATAGCTACTTGGAACAATAGCTTTGAGAGTTTTACTTGTTCGATGATCAGTACAGAGATGTGCTACAACAGTCCTTCCAATGGCCTATGTACCAGTTGTGACTATGTGGGCTTCTTAAGCCAGTCAACTGTGATGTCCTCCATTTCGACCTCGGGGGCAAAGTGATTAGTTTCTCCATGTTTGAGTTTGCAATGATCACTGGATCTCCTGCGCACGGTGATTTGTATCTCCTTCTGATTGGATTTATGGCGGAGATGAGAGGGGAGGTAGGGGCGCTACGATAAAAGGTGAGGGAGTAGGTGGGCGCACTATGAGAGGAGTTAAAGGTACTACGACAAGAGTTGAGGGACGATGCATCGAGTTTACATCAAGATGTTGCTGTCCTACGTAGTCATATATTAGACCTTGAGGGGGTGGTTGTAGCGCTCCGAACGACATAGCAGAAATACGAGGGGGTGATAGACGGGACGACGAAGATGGTGATAGACGAGGCGACGGATGGGGTGATGGAGATCGAGATCATTCACCATTGTGACGGATGCTGCATTACAGTCATTTGGGCAGAGAGAGTAGCCCCGATGATGGAGGAAGAGGGAGTGCCCAAGGCGGAGTCTGTGGTCGTGGCGGAGAGGGTGGCAGAGGTCGAAGGGTGACCCCGATGACGAAGGAGAAGAGGATGCCAGTCGTAA